TCAGTGCAGACTGCTTCCCCGTGCTCCCTCTCTGTGCTCTTAAAGGAGTTAGGCCTGGCAAGAGCTTTTTAGGGCCCGCGTTTGGCTGACTGCATCTTCCATACAGAGGAGACACCAGGAGCTTGAATATGTTACAGATGTGCCTCCTTGACCTCCAGAGTCATTAGGCTCAGAGTTCTAAGGGAGCATGTGGCCAGGTGGCGTGCATCTGTAATCTCAGCATTGGGGAGGCTGATGCAGGAGGGTGGCCTTGAGTTCAAGGCCAGCCTGAAGAACACAGTGAGACCCTGTCTCAAAAAACCAAAAAAGAAAAGAAAGCCTGTGGCTTTTCAGTTCATTGGGTCTAGAGCTTTAATGTCCACATGTAGTTTGTAACCTGCAGATTTCCTTCGAAGGACAGCGTTCACCTCAGGGTTGTGTGGCCTTGACAAAGTTCAGACCAAGAGAAAACCGCTTGGCTCTGTGTGTGGGTTGCGAAACTGTAGTCCTAGGAAGAAACAGCTTTAACTCGGTGGCGAGTGCTCTGTGATCTACACCTGTGCTCGTCAAAGGGCGAGGGCGGCACCTCCCCTGGAGTAGCAGTGTCACTGAAACAGCATCATGTCCTCTCAACTCTCAGGCGACTTGCTGTGGCACCCCTGGAAAAGCCCCCGGCCCAACTTGCTCTTCTCCATTGATATTAAAGGCAGAAGGACAGGGTTATTGTGGGTTTTTTATAGATCAGTGGTCTAGGGTCCAGACGTAAAGAAAAGTGACCGACAGAACATTTTTAGCTCTGAGTAGTGGTCCCTTGTGAAACACCTGAGACACTTGGTAGTGGATCAACCCTGTTTCTGGTGCTCAACCCATGCAGAAGTGAGAGCCACGAGCTGAGTCCGCGGGTCTCACAGGAACCACAGTACGGGGAGCGGGAGGTAGAAAAGAAACACAGCACAGCTCCACTGTGATATTGCACCTCGTGTAAACTGGTTCAGGACCTTCACGTTCAGCGCCTCAGCTTCTCATTACCAATGACCTAGGGAATTACCATTAGCACCCAGCGAGGAAGTGTCACTGTATAATTCTTGAAGGTAATCAAGGCAGCAGAGGACATTTCCAGCCCAAAGGGTCTGTAAGAAGTGAATGTGTACTGCGTATAGAAGCCACCAGGCAGGGACTTTGGGGAAGTCTCTGTCATGTGTTTGCTCCTTGGATGAATTAGTCCCTTGGATGGTGCTGAGGAGAACTGCTAGACGGTGTCAGGGTATAATGTGTAAGTCATAGCTTTATTCTGAGTGTAGGTAATTTATAAGCTCTAATCTACTTTATCCAGTCTGAGGGCATTCAAATTAATTACCACCTGGAACTTCAAAGCAAGGCATTCAGGAAGGAGTTGAAAGGCACTGGAACTATTCGTGTCCATACTGGATCTGTAAAACAAGATTATTCAAAAAACCAAGCTGGGCCTGGGGGTCCACGCCTGTAATCCTCCCTCCTGGGAGGCTGAGGCAGGAGTATCAGGAGTTCCAGGCCAGCCTAGACTAAAAACCAAAACAAAACATTGAAAAGCTAGTGTCTAGAATTAGCTGTTCAGAATTCAGAAGGGGACATTTGTTTTAACTTTGTGATGTATTAGCAAAAATGGGGCCTACCTACTGTGATGTTTGGGAAGAAGGGAGTTTTTCCCTTATGCATTTGTATATGAAGACAGTTTGTATGACACAATACAAAACTTTTAAACAAAAAAAAAAAAAAAGAAAGAAATTGGACCCTTTCTCACAAATAGCATAAGATAAATAAATGAGCCGGGGATTTAGCTCAGTGGTTCTGCCACCTGCCTCGCAACTGAAAGGTCTCAAGTTTGAGCCCCAGTACCAAAAAAAAAAAAGAAAAATAAAACAGCTCAGCATAGTGGTGCACACCTGAAATCCTGGCACTTGGAACGGCGAGGCAGGAGGATCACAAGTTCAAGGCCAGCTTGGCGCACACAGGGAGCTCAAGGACAGCCAGCACCACATAGTGTGAACCTATCTCAAAAAACAAAAGGAAGAAAGGACAAAAGATCTAAACAGAGATTTTGCAAAAGAAAATATACAAATGGCCACTGCAAGTGCACATGAAAATGTACTTGGCATCGGGCTGGGGATTTAGCTCAGCAGCACTTTGCCAGCCTTGCAAATGCAAGGTCCTGAGTTTGATCCCTGGTACCGCCCCCCCCCCAAAATGTACTTGGCATCATTAGCTATCATAGAAACGCAAATCAAACCACAATGAGCTGCCACTTCATACCCACTAAGTTGGGTATTACAAAAAAATGTAGAGAATGAGTGTTAGAGAGAATGTGGAGGAATTAGAACCATTATATCTTTCTAGTGGGATTATAAATGGTGCTGTCTCTTGGGAAAACAATTTTGAGTTTTCTCAAAAGATTAAACAGCATCCAGCAATCCACTGTGAGGTTTATACCCAAGAGAAGTAACACGTTTTACACAAATGTTCATAATAGCATTCCCTAAAAAATAGCAACCCCTCCATAAGTAACCCAAATATCCATTAACTGATACATGAATAAGCAAAATGCAGTATGTAACAATCCATTTCCATTATTTACCATGTAATATTCAAAAATAAAAAGGAACAAAATTCTGATCCATGTGACAACATAGATCAACCTTATATCACACTAAATAGAAGCCAGTGATAAAAGACCACATAATGTATGTGTCTTAGTTACTTTTCTCTTGTTGTGAAGACAAAATACTCAACACTCAAAGTAAAAGGGGGAAAGGTTTATTTAACTCAGTTTGTAGAGGTTTCAGTTTACAACTGGCTGGCTCCATGTCAGGGTGGCATGGCATTGCAGAGGTGAAATAGTTGATGGCAGGCAGAAGGTAGCAAAGCAAGCAAGAAACAAAACAAGCCTCTTTCTGTCCTTTATATTGTATCCAGGCTACTAGGATTAGGGTGGTGCCAAACCAATCAGTGGACTGATTTAGTAATCACACACCCTTAATCCCAGCACCCTTAATCCTAGCATTGCTCCCCGAATCAGTCACATACTCTAGATCCTGCCATCTCTGAAAAAGCCCTACCTATGACTTCAAGAGGCTTTGGGGTGACATATAGACACAAGCCATAACAGTATGATTCTGATTATATGAAATGGTCAGAATAGGTAAATTCTGACATAGACTACTGGCTGCATAGGGTTGGAGTGTTGGGGAGAAATGGAGAATGACTGCCAGTAGGTAAAGGCAGGGTAAGGGTATTAAATATCCTGTTAGAATATTAAAATGTTCTAAATATTAAAATGTTCTAAAAATGTTCTAAAAATGATTGTGGTGATGACTGAACAACTCTGTGTATATACTCATATTGTTTTTAAAAAATGATAATAGTAACCACAGCAAGAATGGAAAAGTTGTGTCTGATAAATCTCTTGGTTTAGTCATCACATCTAACAAAAATCCAAACTCACACCTACCTGTAAATGTGAGTTGAATCTTGAGAGTTGCGAACTTTGAATTTGCATATAAACAACAAATTGAGCTCAGTCTCTGGTGCAAAAACAACAAAAACAATGAACTTCTCAACTGCTTGCAAAGGAGTGCTGTACTTGCAAGGCATGGTGTCTGAACAAAGCCAGAGCTGTATATAAGGTTTCCAGGAGACTAGCCTTTAGGAATTGGTGCTTTTTTCAAGAAGCTGGAGTATTTAACGGCCTCTGAGGTCATTGGAGCAAGACAGCTGAGGAATGGCTATCCTTCACGAGGCTGGTCAATTGTGTGACACAGCAGCTGATTGGCTAGTGCCTAGAAACTTAGAGCTGTCAATGATTGGCTGACTTTCAGAAGCGTGGGGCCTGCCATTGATTTTCTTACACAAGCTGTTGATGACTGGCTGATTTGGAGAAACATAAACCCGGAATGAGACTGTTGCTGATTGGCTGATTTTCAGAGCTTGTGTACTGACGTGACGTTCTCTCTAAATAATGGTGGTTATTCATTCACGACTTGGGACTTGAGTAAAAGTCCTTGAAAATGAAAAACAAGTCCTTTTAATTCCTACAATGCTTCGTTTAGTTTTTCCTCAGCTAAACCTTCGGGAGACACCATAGAGGTTATTGTTGAGATTTTCACGTGTGGAAGAAATTTCAACCAGTGTTGTCATTTAAGTAATTCAAGCGGCAATCACTGTGGCGCAAAAACAGCCCTAGCTAATTATTTTAACACTGTAAAAATATGAATACAGGGTATTTAAGACATCCTGACAAGGTCAATAAACAACACAGGACGAAATCATTAAATAGGTCCTGTAAATACAGGACGCCTGGCAACCCTACCAATGAAATATTTCCCCCTATAGTACACAGAAAAGGACTGGAGCTCCGTGGGATTGTTTCTGGTCCAGGGTCCCGCAGCCGGAAATGGGTTGAGCCAGGATCAAAACAGCGAAGGACAGGATCCTCCCGGACCCGGTTAGCACTTAAGGTCCACGCCTTGCTTTGGGCTGAATAAGCACCGCTAACCCCAGGCCTGCTTGGAATCGGCTGGATGTTTGAAGGGTGAGTGCGACACTGATGAGCAGCATGTGAGAAGACAGCAGCGAGGGACCCTCCCGAGATCCCTGGAGGAAAGTCGGAATCGGAGGTGGGGCGGCCCGACCCCAGTGTAGATGCAGAGGAATGCTGAGCTGGAGCCGGGGCCCAGGGGGGCAGGGCTGCAGCAAGGCCCCGCCCCCCGAACGCGTGCGTGTGCGCGACTTGGGGCGCCGCACAATCCTACTCGGTGATGAGGGGCCTGAGAACAAGGTACAGCTGTGGTCGGGCAGCCCTCATCCTGGGGACCCTAGTCCCCACCGTCCGTATCAGCTGTCTCGAGGTTTAAGGAGGACGCAGCGCCTCGTCCATACACCGCCCCCACCCCTAGGCCGTCCCGACGCCCCCACGCGCTCTCCTTGCGTGCGCCCGCCCCGCCTCCCGACGTGCCCCGGCGCACCGCGCCCCCCACCCGGCACGCCCCTCCGCCCCGCCCGGCCGTCGCCGGCCTGGAGCCGCCTCGAGGGCTTGCGCGACCCTCGCCGCGGCGCCGTGCTCCTCCGCCGCCTGTCGCCATGGACGTGTACCCCTCGCACAGGCTGGGGCTGCCCTGCGCCCGGTCCCCCGGCGGCTCTGGCCGCGGGTCGCCTTCCGTCAGGTACGCTGGGCCGAGGCCGCAGAGGGGCGGCTGGGCGGGGGATGCAGGCTGTCCGTGTCTTGCGACGCCTCCCTCCGCAGGGCGTGGCCTGACATGGCTTCCTTGCGGACAAGGCTTTGGGACGGTTATTGGAGGAACGTTTCCCCTGAGCGGCGCCATCTGTAGAAGCCCCTAGGGCTGCGCTATAGACAATCCTACAACGACCCCGGTGAAGACCCCTTGTTGTGACATCCCCACTGTAATACTACCCCCCCCCGAAAGGGTCCTCTGTAGGGAACCCCCAGTGGCTTCCCTGTGGAAGCCTACGCCATGGAATGTCCCCCCTGCCACACACCGAAACGGCTACCTCAAAAGACACTTCCCTCACACAATAGGTCCCCTGTGTAAAGAACCTCGAATGGTGTCCCTCAGAAGCGGCGTACCTAAAAGCCCTGCTATTGTAGGGTCTAAAGCCTTTGCCTTTGACAGCAGCTGCCCTAAGGATTACCCCTGCCCCCTGCGTACATGCTGACAGCATCTTCCCTATTGCGCGTTCCTCACCTCCCCTTCCCCCAACCTGCATCACGACACCCTCTCACTCCACGGTGGGAGGTTGGCTTGGGGGAAATTGGAAGTCATTTGGGGCTCAGGAGAGAAAACTAGCTGGATGGATAGGGAAAAGAAGTCCTTAACCCCCGAAATGCCAGGCCCCTGAGCCTAAACACAGAGCCCGCAGTTGGCTCGGTATGCGGAGGATCTGCTATTGCGAAGAGCACCACGCCTACTTTCGATATTGGAAGATCCATTCCGATTTCTGCTCCCTGTGTCTTTGGGGCTGACCTTGATACAGTAGTCTGATACAGTAGTCTGGTTATTGTTTGTGACGGAGCTGGTATGGGGCATACGCTAGCGAAGTGTGGACGTTGGAATGATGGAGGGATTGCAGCGGAGACCTTGGCGGGGGGGAGAGCGAGTGAGCGAGCAATGAGCTTTGGTACGCTAAACTGTCATTAAACAAAAAGAGGGATTTCATATTTGTTTGCTTTTTCTTTATTCTAGCTACTTAGCAAAGTAAATATGGTGTTCACGCCGCCTGCCTCGCAAGCAAGCTCAAGGTCCCGAGTCCCATCCCCGGTACCATATATATATGTTATTGTTCCTTTGAAAAGAGGTTGTCAACTTATATTAAATGGCTTTTCCTACATTGTAATGGTACTTAAGGTATTCTACATGCTAATCTGTGTGTGTGTGGAAGGTCTTAAGTATACCCGAAGGCATGAAAATCAGAAACTAACTTTTAGAAATCTACCCCCCCACCACCACCACCACCGGGGATCGAGCTTAGGACCTTGTGCTTTCGAGGCAGTTGCGGTGCCACTGAGCTAAATCCCTGGCTCTTAATTCTTAAAATTCTGACCGTTTTATTTTCCTGCATTCCTTCCCACCACACACCAGCCTCCAGCTACTAAGACATGTTGTTAAGTGAATAAAGGACGCAAGAGGTCGGGATAGATAGTAATGAAACACTACATTTAAGGGTCTTAATTTTCACCGGTGATTTAGCTCAGAGGTTCTGCCGCCTGCCTCAAAAGCGCAAGGTCCCAAGTTCTATCCCTGGTACAAAAAAAAAAAAAGTCCTGGTTTTCTTCTAATTTGACATCGTGTGAACTTCTCTGCCCTTCAGTGCAGTTCCTTCTGGGGTTTAGTTTCAAGCCATTAGCTGTTGTGGCAACCATCTTCAGTCCATCTCAGTATTTCTGCCAGACATTTTCACTGTTTGAAAGTATTTGAACTTTGTATAGAGTGTTTTTATGTTGAAAAGAAGTCTGTTGGCTGACTTCATTAGTCATGCCTAAACTCTGAATCTTTCATGAGGTGGTTTGAATGAAACCTGTTAGATTTCAGACAAGGAGTAGTGCAAGTAGTAACACCAAGGCCTGGCTCTTTTGTGCCTTTACCCTCCTTTCCTACCTCTGTGTAATTGAACATGCTTTTTCTGCTGTTGAAGCTTTTCCACTTTTCCATCACTTTTGACATTAAACGTTCCTAGGTAGGTTTGAGCTTAGCCCTTTCCTGTCACCTGTATTTGGCCTCTTTGCTGATCTTTGACTCCTGAGTGATGAAAGAAGCAGGCCTAACTGGTGAAGTTACATTCCTAAAGACCCCTACATAGACTTTGCAAGAGGTGGTTCTCTTCTAGCAAGGGAGTTCATTTTCACAGATGGAGAATGGTGATCAGGAGTTAAAATATTATTGCTCAGAATTGGAGGCTTCTTTTAAGGATATGATAGTCATCAGTGCTGTCTATCAGATATTTTTGGTTTCTGTCTCCTGAGCACATAGTAGAATTGTACTTGCTTGTCTTGTTGAAGTTGGGTATGGCCTATGGTCAATGAAGTGTCTAGAGGAATAATATATAGTCCTTTGTGGTAAAAGCTTCTGGTGTAAGCTGAGCATGGTGGCCCACACCTGTAGTCCCAGCACTCGGGTGACTGAGGCAGAAGGATCACTTTGAGTTCAAGGCCAGCCTGAATTACATAGCAAGACCTTATTTCAAAAAAAAAAAAAACCTTCTGATGTATAAGTTTTCTCTCTTTCCTTCTGTCGTGATTGCTATTGCTGCTTCAAATGGTAGCTGCTCCATTATTCTCTGACCCAGAACAAAAGATGGAACAAAAAGTGAAATGCCCCTGGGATTTTGGAATTATTGCCAAAATATAACCTAGCCTATCTGAATTAATACCGAGAAAAAAATGGAAATCTGGCTCAAATATTCTTTCTCACTTCAAAATCTTTTTCTGCAGAGGGATCTGTTTCTGCTTGGTACTTTAACAGTACTTGGTACTTTAAGTCTCACTACCTTTTAAAACAAATAATCCAACATACACTATGTTAGGTGCTATGGATTCAGATAAATAAGGTCATCCCCTGCCTTCAGAGAGCTCTTTTGTAAGTGGAAAAAGAGAGATACAGTAAACGTCATACTGAACAGCAAGAAAAAGTACTGAGGAAGAAATAGGACTGAAGGAACAATAATGCAAGAAGACCTAGTTGGATTTGGCCCCAGTGTTAGAAGAAGAAAGTTGCTATTCACTGATATTGGGAATGCTGGTAGAAGAACATATTTGGGGAGAGTGTAGAGTTCAATTTTGGCCACATTCATTTTGAGTTACCTAATAGATATCAACATGAGGTAAGTTCAGTAGAGAGATTGGGACTATATGACTGCCATGAATATGCTTAAGACTCCCCAGTTGAGAACTAAGAATGAACTAGTAGGCTTGATAATCTAGTTATTGATAGAGGTCATTGGTGACCTTGACAGTGACAGGTTTTTTATTTTTGTTTTTGTTTTTTTGTACTGGGGATCGAACTCAGGACCTTGCACTTATAAGGCAGGTGGCAGAACCACTGAGCTAAATCCCTGGCCCAGACAGTGACAGTTTTGATGAGGTAGGTTCAAGAGAAAATGAGAGAAGAATTGAATAGTTAATATAAATAGTCATAGTGATGCTCCTTCAAGGATTGTTTTAAGGAAAGCAGAATGAGGCTGTGGGTGGAAAATCATGAGATATTAATAGAGTTCTTTTTGGGCTGACATCATAGCTTGTCTATAAATTGCTGAGAATGATGCATAAGGAAAGGGAGTTGATGATTAAAGAGAAAGAAGGGATGTTTGCAAGGTTAAGTCCTTGAGTAGGTAAGAGGGAATGGAATCTAGTACATAAATGAAGATGTTGGCATCAAGCTAGGTAAGTGCAAGGCAGACAGTTCATTTGTGGACCCAGATGCTGATATGTTGATAACTTGGTGGTGGAAGAAAGTGAAATTCATTGTCAGTTACTTCTGTGTTCTCAGGTAAACAAAAAAGATGGTCTTCAGCTAAAATTGAAGAGTGGAGAGGTGTTTCAAATTTGAGAAGAAAGAAGATGTAAAGTTCATCCAAGAGAATGAGGAAGAATGAGTTGAGGGAGGAAATGCGTTAAGATTGTTGGGTACACAAGTGCCCATTTGGTGTTTGTGGTTATAGATGTAAAGTGAGACCGAGTTAGCATGTTGTCTGTTTGCCATACAGTTGTGTTGAACAGCTTCAATGTATGTCACGTGGGAGGGAGTGGCAGAAGGATAGAGGGCAATGCTGTTGGAGAAGAGAAGTTAAGGAACTAAAAGGTGAACATAGTGGTACATACTGAGACTAGTGTGAATTAAGGTAAGAGTGGTAATAATAGAGACCATTATCCAGAAGCTAAAATCTTTAGGGAATGAGGAGGCTTGAGTGACTTAGGGATCTGTAGATGTCTGTAACAAGGAGGGATAGCAGGGGTCATGGTTTGGTAGCATGAAGAAATCATCCAAACAAAACAAAACAAAAAGCCCTGAGAACCAAAGGGCATGAATTTCCAGATGTAAAGAACTCGTCAAGAATATGGCATAATATACACACCAGGGCTGGGGGTATAGGTCAGTGGTAGAGCACTTGCCTTGTGTGCAGGAAGCCCAGTAATGAAAAAAAAATAAAATTCTATCAGGATTGGAAGCTAGAAGGTAATGAAGCAAACAATGCCTCCCAAAGGAAAATGGGTTTCCACACAGGATTCTGAATCCAGCCAAATTCTCAGATAGATGTGAGGAAACGATAACTACATTGAACATATGCGGGGTCTCAAAATTTGACATCCCATATACATTTTATGAAGAAGCTACTGGAGGATGTGCTTTGACAGTCTAATTAAGGGGTTCCTGAGCTGGGACTCTTCTATATCATGTATAGGTGGAATTTCTTCCTTATTAAGGAACTCATAAGGAAGAACTTTTTTTATTACTCCTGGAAATTACCGAAGGAATTGGGCCATTTTAAATTGCCATTTTCTACTTTGTTTCCCCTAGTATTTAGATCAGTGTCAGGCACATAATCAGTACTCACTAAATCTGAACTATTATTAGTTATTTATAAAACATTTCTTTCATTATTTATTGAATGAATAGAAAATAATTACAGGTGAATCTGTGGGTTATGTTAA